ACCTACCCATGAAGTGCATGGGAACTTCCTATGTACTACCGGGTGTGCCTCCTGAGCCTGCCGAAGGGAGGCAGGGGCTGCAGCTGCAGCTCCTGCTCAAACTCGTGAGGAACAGGCTATTCTTGGCCTGTTCTGCATCCCTGTTTATGTGCCTGAGTCTTAGGGGCAGGTCGAAACAATGAGGGCTTGAAAATGGCCCTCTGTTTCAGGCTGAAAACTCTGGGTCTGAAAAGACCCAGAAATAGGCTGAAACGGGGTAGGGTCTGCAGGCCCTCGTTTTTCAGCTTTCAGGCTGAAACGACCGGGGCCTGTAAGCCCTAAGTTTTAGGCTTTTAGGCTGAATGTCCGGAACGGGCCCTGCAGGGCCCGTGTGGCTACGCAGTATGCCACACCTACCCTCCCATGCTAGAGTTACAGGACACTACCAGGCCCCGGTATCGACCAACCTAGTGTAGATGGTAAGGAGTGCCTTCCTCCCTCGGCAACTCCCCATAGCCGTACGCCCCTAACGGTGACAGGGATACAACCCCAGCTACAGCCACGTCGAAAGTGCTGGTTCTGTCTTCCTCCCTCGACAGAACTCCCCAAGCCTCGTGCTCCCCTCAGGTCACAGAGCACAACACTCCAGCACCGGCCTGCGTTGTCCCAGCCCCTTCCTTCTGAGACCTACTCACAACACCCACAGCCCCCCCCTCTGTTGCCACCCCCTTCCCACCTCTTGCCCCACAGCCCTCCTGGAACTCAGTAGGTAAAATTTTGTGAAGAGAGGAGCTGATAGCACCCACCTCCCAAGCCTGTCCAGCCTTACTTCGGTAAGACTTACTGCAGTGGAGCCACCATCTCCCCTGCTGCTATACCCTCTTTTCGCTCTGCAGTTAGCCCCTTACCGCAGAGCACGTTCTTTCCCCCCTCATACCATCATACCCCCCACAAACAGCACCCTCCTCAAAGGAAAACAAGCAAGAATAGGGTGAAAACGGAAATACGAAAAAAACTCGAAAAATCTCAAAGAATTACGTGAAGGATTGCAATTAGTCTCCAGGGAATTGCAATAGGAAATCCATTTTTAGAAATCAAAATTTAGAAACCAAATTTTAAGATGTAAAATCCAAGAATGATTTGGAATCTATCGACCCCAAGTTATGGGACTTTTAAACTTTTTAGGTCAGAAATTACTATTATCTGGGATACCCGAGACCGGACTCACGATTATAAGGATCAGGATTTTTTTGCAGGAGATTCCATAGGAAACTCATAGAAGTTATTCCAGAGAAATATTATTGAAATTGAAGATGAGATCTAAATAAGATCAAAATTTGAGAGACCAACGTAAACGACTTATTAAACGGCTATTAAAAAACGACTGTTTAGAAGTGAGTTTTAGGAACAAAAATCAGGAATTCCAATACGACGCTTAAACTCGTTCTGGGGATATCAATCGTTAAAAAAAGCTCCACGGCACCAGCTGAGTCGCTTCGCAGAATCTAAAAAACATCCGGCAGCAAAAAATCAGAAAAAGTATCAGATGATTTGTATAAAGAAAACGAATCTGGAGAGGATCCCCACTGAGATCTCCGATTATCCACACTTATAAAATCAGCAGTAAACACGTGGATTAAGAAAACATGG